CGACTTTCCCCCCTATGTTCCCCCCCAATCATCATCATCATCATCAATCTTCCCATGCAAACCTTTTTTTTACCCTACCCACCACGCTACCACCCAATCAATCATAGTTCCTCATTTACGCAATTATGTATTTATAATTCCTTTTTATTATTCATTTGCAATTCTTGTAAATTTGCAAATTGCCAAATACTTAATTACTTATCTTTTTCAACATTTCCTTTCCGAAAATATTTTCTTTTTCTAAACTTTCGAAAATACGTAGACTTAGTTATTCTTTCTCAGATTTCTTTCTCGAAATTCAAAAATTATTTTAATCAATTCTTTTTTAAAAAATTTAATTCAAAAATACTTCAGAATTAATTAAATTATTTTTCAACATTTCTTTTTCGTAATTCGAACACATTTCTAAATAATTCTTTTTCAAGATTTCAGTAATTGGAAAACATTTTAAAATTTATCAAACTCTTTTCTTCTTTTAATTTGAAATACGTAGAATTAATTAATTTTTTTTCGACATTCCTTTGAAATTCGGAACTACTTTTAATTCATTCTTTTTCAAAAATTTTGAAAATATGTTAGAATTTAGGCTACCAGCCGGGCCGCCCGGGTCACCCTATTTTCCCGGACGGCCCGGCCGTACAAGGACCAGGGAAGGTTCTAGCAAAAAAACAAAACAAAAAAAAAACAAAAAAATCGGAAAAAAAAACTATGTTATGCAGAAATATAAACTGAACAACTTTTGCCTCAGGGTCAACTCAAAATTCTTTACCAAATTTAAAATAAAAAATAGAGCTTAAAGATATTTTTTATTTTTTTATTTTTTTATTTGTTTTTGGCCCGGCTGGGCAAGTGGCCCCGGGCCACTCTGGTAGCCTAGGTTAGAATTAATTAAATTCTTTTTTGATATTTCTTTTTTTTTCAAAATTCAAAAATGCTTTTACTTAATTCCTTTTCTCGTATATTTTAATTACTAAGAACAAATTCTCTTTCGAAATTCTCGAACTTTGGGAATATTTTACTTAATTCCTTTTGAAATTTCACGCTTTTCATACCCCAAAATTAATTTCGAATAAATTTAACCGGAATTTATTTTTTCAAAATTGTTATTATTTTTTTGATATTTTCAGCATTTATTTCATTCCTGAAAATTTCGTGTTTCCAACTTTTCTCCCACAAAACCCTTTCCGAATTTTCGAATT